ACTAACCCACCCACAGAATTTGGTCTGTAAACTAACCCACCCACAGAATGTAGTCTGTAAACTAACCCACCCACAGAATTTGGTCTGTAAACTAACCCACCCACAGAATTTAGTCTGTAAACTAACCCACCCACAGAATCTAGTCTGTAAACTAACTTACCCACAGAATTGAGTCTGTAAACTAACCCACCCACAGAATTTAGTCTGTAAACTTACCCACCCACAGAATTTAATCTGTAAACTAACCCATCCACAGAATTTAGTCTGTAAACTTACCCATCCACAGAATTTAGTCTGTAAACTAACACAACCACAGAATTTAGTCTGTAAACTAACCTACCCACAGAATTTAGTCTGTAAACTAACCCACCCACATAATTTAGTCTGTAAACTAACCCACCCACAGAATTTAGTCTGTAAACTAACCTACCCACAGAATTTAGTCTGTAAACTAACCCACCCACAGAATTTAGTCTGTAAACTAACCCACCCACAGAATTTAGTCTGTAAACTTACCCATCCACAGAATTTAGTCTGTAAACTAACCCACCCACAGAATTTAGTCTGTAAACTTACCCATCCACAGAATTTAGTCTGTAAACTAACTCACCCACAGAATTTAGTCTGTAAACTTACCCACCCACAGAATTTAGTCTGTAAACTAACCCATCCACAGAATTTAGTCTGTAAACTAACCCATCCACAGAATTTAGTCTGTAAACTAACTCACCCACAGAATTCAGTCTGTAAACTAACACAACCACATAATTTAGTCTGTAAACTAACCCACCCACATAATTTAGTCTGTAAACTAACCCACCCACAGAATTTAGTCTGTAAACTAACCTACCCACAGAATTTAGTCTGTAAACTAACCTACCCACATAATTTAGTCTGTAAACTAACCCACCCACAGAATTAAGTCTGTAAACTAAACCCACCCACAGAATTTAGTCTGTAAACTAAACCCACCCACAGAATTTAGTCTGTAAACTAAACCCACCCACAGAATTTAGTCTGTAAACTAACCCACCCACAGAATTTAGTCTGTAAACTAACCCACCCACAGAATTTAGTCTGTAAACTTACCCACCCACAGAATTTAGTCTGTAAACTAACCCACCCATAGAATTTAGTCTGTAAAATAAACCCACCCACAGAATTTAGTCTGTAAACTAACCCATCCACAGAATTTAGTCTGTAAACTTACCCACTCACAGAATTTAGTATGTAAACTAAAGCCACCCACAGAATTTAGTCTGTAAACTAACACACCCACAGAATTTAGTCTGTAAACTAACCCACCCACAGAATTTAGTCTGTAAACTAACCGACTCACAGAATTTAGTCCGTAAACTAACCCACCCACAGAATTTAGTCTGTAAACTAACCCAGCCACAGAATTTAGTCTGTAAACTAACCCACCCACATAATTTAGTCTGTAAACTAACACACCTACAGAATTTAGTCTGTAAACTAACCTAGCCACAGAATTTAATCTGTAAACTAAAAAACCCACAGAAATTGGTCAGTAAACTAACCTACCCACAGAATCTAGTCTGTAAACTAACCCACCCCCAGAATTTAGTCTGTAAACTAACCTACCCACAGAATTTAGTCTGTAAACTAACCCACCCACATAATTTAGTCTGTAAACTAACCCACCCACAGAATTTAGTCTGTAAACTAACCTACCCACAGAATTTAGTCTGTAAACTAACCCACCCACAGAATTTAGTCTGTAAACTAACCCACCCACAGAATTTAGTCTGTAAACTTACCCATCCACAGAATTTAGTCTGTAAACTAACCCACCCACAGAATTTAGTCTGTAAACTAACCTACCCACAGAATTTAGTCTGTAAACTAACCCACCCACAGAATTTAGTCTGTAAACTAACCCACCCACATAATTTAGTCTGTAAACTTACCCATCCACAGAATTTAGTCTGTAAACTAACCCACCCACAGAATTTAGTCTGTAAACTTACCCATCCACAGAATTTAGTCTGTAAACTAACTCACCCACAGAATTTAGTCTGTAAACTTACCCACCCACAGAATTTAGTCTGTAAACTAACCCATCCACAGAATTTAGTCTGTAAACTAACTCACCCACAGAATTCAGTCTGTAAACTAACACAACCACATAATTTAGTCTGTAAACTAACCCACCCACATAATTTAGTCTGTAAACTAACCTACCCACAGAATTTAGTCTGTAAACTAACCTACCCACATAATTTAGTCTGTAAACTAACCCACCCACAGAATTGAGTCTGTAAACTAAACCCACCCACAGAATTTAGTCTGTAAACTAACCCACCCACAGAATTTAGTCTGTAAACTAAACCCACCCACAGAATTTAGTCTGTAAACTAACTCACCCACATAATTTAGTCTGTAAACTAACCCACCCACAGAATTTAATCTGTAAACTAACCCACCCACAGAATTTAGTCTGTAAACTAACCCACTCACAGAATTTAGTCTGTAAACTAACCCACCCACAGAATTTAGTCTGTAAACTTACCCACCCACAGAATTTAGTCTGTAAACTAACCCACCCATAGAATTTAGTCTGTAAAATAAACCCACCCACAGAATTTAGTCTGTAAACTAACCCATCCACAGAATTTAGTCTGTAAACTTACCCACTCACAGAATTTAGTATGTAAACTAAAGCCACCCACAGAATTTAGTCTGTAAACTAACACACCCACAGAATTTAGTCTGTAAACTAACCCACCCACAGAATTTAGTCTGTAAACTAACACACCTACAGAATTTAGTCTGTAAACTAACCTAGCCACAGAATTTAATCTGTAAACTAAACAACCCACAGAAATTGGTCAGTAAACTAACCTACCCACAGAATCTAGTCTGTAAACTAACCCACCCCCAGAATTTAGTCTGTAAACTAACCCACCCACAGAATTTAGTCTGTAAACTAACTCACTCACAGACTTTAGTCTGTAAACTAACCCACCCACAGAATTTAGTCTGTAAACTAACACACCCACAAAATTTAGTCTGTAAACTAACACACCCACAAAAGTTAGTCTGTAAACTAACCGGCCCACAAAATTTAGTCTGTAAACTAACCCACCCACAAAATTTAGTCTGTACACTAACCCACCCACAGAATTTAGTCTGTAAACTAACTCACTCACAGACTTTAGTCTGTAAACTAACCCACCCACAGAATTTAGTCTGTAAACTAACACACCCACAAAATTTAGTCTGTAAACTAACACACCCACAAAATTTAGTCTGTAAACTAACCGGCCCACATAATTTAGTCTGTAAACTAACCCACCCACAAAATTTAGTCTGTAAACTAACCGGCCCACAAAATTTAGTCTGTAAACTAACCCACCCACAGAATTTAATCTGTAAACTAACCCATCCACAGAATTTAGTCTGTAAAGTAACCCACCCACAGAATTTAATCTGTAAACTAACCCACCCACAGAATTTAGTCTGTAAACTAACCCTCTCACATAATTTAGTCTGTAAACTAACCCACCCACAGAATTTAGTCTGTAAACTAACCCACAGAATTTAGTCTGTAAACTTACCCACCCACAGAATTTAATCTGTAAACTAACCCACCCACAGAATTTAGTCTGTAAACTAACCCACCCACAGAATTTAGTCTGTAAACTAACCCACCCACAGAATTTAGTCTGTAAACTAACCCACCCACAGAATTTAGTCTGTAAACTAACCCACCCACAGAATTTAGTCTGTAAACTAACCTACCCACAGAATTTAATCTGTAAACTAAACCCACCCACAGAATTTAGTCTGTAAACTTACCCATCCACAGAATTTAGTCTGTAAACTAACACAACCACAGAATTTAGTCTGTAAACTAACCCACCCACAGAATCTAGTCTGTAAACTAACCCACCCACAGAATTTAGTCTGTAAACTAACTCACCCACATAATTTAGTCTGTAAACTGACCCATCCACAGAATTTAGTCTGTAAACAAACCGGCCAGTTGAGTTCCTGTCGGAGCATGAGAGGGCACCTGAATCATTGGCATCCATAAACAACAAATCCAACCCTGTCCTTAATGAGTCACATCTCTACCTAATACAGGACCAGTGTGTTACATAATTATAACAAGCTCTCATTTACTACTGGTAGCTTAATGTTACTGAGGTAGCGTAATGTTACTGAGGTAGCGTAATGGTGCTGAGGTAGCGTAATGGTGCTGAGGTAGATTAACGTTGCTGAGGCGATCATACAAAATAATACGTTATGCCGCTGAAGGATTTAAAAAGTTGAATTGTAGCATAATATTCAGATTATATTTTTTAAAAACCCCAACATATCTTGTGCTTTCGTCAACGACATAATATCCCCTTTACGGTCCACTGATAACTCTAGGTAAATCAAAAAACATAATCCTAGTATCTACACAGACTATAGACATTCATATACAAAACAATTCGCACACGCACATTAATATATATCTATATTTTATTTTCCATAGAACCAGACTCTTTTAGCTCAACTTTTGTCAAATCTTCACAACACGGCTTTTAAATTTTGTTTCCCTTGACATTTTTATATTAACCACTTGATGAAATGGAGTTGTTGTGTAAGAACGATAAGAGATATGGCCAAACACTTTACGCCATGATGCCTAGATGATTTTAAAATCGAACAATGCATGCCTCGAAAAGATATGAAATTTGGAGCTGGAACAGTCTACTTTTGGGAAAGCGATATATATATATATATATATATATATATATATATATATATATATATATATATATATATATATATATATATATATATTGCTTTCCCAAAAACAGACTGCCAACGACTATATATATATATATATATATATATATATATATATATATATATATATATATATATATATAAACGTTCCAGCGCATATATAAGGGTTAAGTCTGAAAGCTACTCGTGATCTTATAATATAGTCGACTCACTATTTGTAACAACAACAACCTTACCTTGATAATGTTTCCCAAGCTTATGCACCTCTATCCCCACCATAGACTGGGTATCCTTACAGTCCATAGTAAACCGTTTCATTGTAAGTCCTTTATTATCTGCTGCCACATTATCCACACCGAGGTTTAAGTCGTCCACACGGGCACATAATCTAGACTTGTGGGAGTTGGATTCTACCACATGGAATACCATGAGCAGTAGGAGAGCTGGTAGCAATGTAGGGGTCTGTCGGTGAGACTTTGTGAAGGATTTGATTGGAGAGTAGAGCATGGTGAACGGTGACAACAGTGCCATTATCTGCAGTAAGATAAGTCAACGTTGTTTATACAGGTTCGTATGTAGTGGTTTGGTGGTTTGGTGGTTTGGGTTTGTGAAGAGGATTAGAGAGATATTAAGTGATATATATAAATGGTTGTGTGTGTGTGGATGTATGTGTGCGTGTGTGTGTATGTGTGTTAAACACAAAGAAAATAGCAAGTAGATAGAGCGATTGATAAACATATATAGAAAGATGACAAGTAAGATATATAAAATATAGAAAGATGACAAGTGAGATATATAGAACAATGACATGTCAGATTTATAGAAAGATGAACAATGAGATAAAAGAAAGATGAAAAGTGAGATATTTATAGAAAGATGAACAGTGAGATAAAGATGACAAGTGATATAAAGATAACAAGTAAGATAAAGATGACAAGTGAGATAAAGTTGACACATGAGATAAAGATGACAAGTGAGATAAAGATGAACAGTGAGATAAAGATAACAAGTGAGAAAAAGTTGACAAGTGAGATAAAGTTGACACATGAGATAAAGATGAACAGTGAGATAAAGATGACACGGGAGATAAAGATGACAAGTGAGATAAAGATGACCAGTGAGATAAAGATGACAAGTGAGATAAAGATGACATGTGAGATAAAGATGACAAGTGAGATAAAGATGACAAGTGAGATAAAGATGACAAGTGAGATAAAGATGAACAGTGAGATAAAGATGACAAGTGAGATAAAGATGAACAGTGAGATAAAGATGAACAGTGAGATAAAGATGACAAGTGAGATAAAGATGACAAGTGAGATAAAGATAACAAGTAAGATAAAGATGACAAGTGAGATAAAGATGAACAGTGAGATAAAGATAACAAGTGAGAAAAAGTTGACAAGTGAGATAAAGTTGACACATGAGATAAAGATGAACAGTGAGATAAAGATGACAAGTGAGATAAAGATGACCAATGAGATAAAGATGACCAGTGAGATAAAGATGACAAGTGAGATAAAGATGACCAGTAATATAAAGATGACCAGTGAGATAAAGATGACCAGTGAGATAAAGATGACCAGTGAGATAAAGATGACCAGTGAGATAAAGATGCCAAGTGAGATAAAGATGAAAAACGAGATAAAGATGACCAGTAAGATAAAGATGACCAGTGAGATAAAGATGACCAATGAGATAAAGATGACCAGTGAGATAAAGATGACCAATGAGATAAAGATGACCACTGAGATATACAGAGCTACAACAAGACAGGGAGATATTTAAAGAAATGACTAATTAAAACACAAAAAGCCGAATAAGAAACTTATGTTGATTACCTCGGCATTCAATAAACGTTAAGCTGACTTGTCTCCCCTCATACGAACATGTTCGACACTAAACACTCCTTATCCATTGAAGTAAGTTGTCGTTTAGCTCCCCTTTCGTCCACACTTTGACATTTGTTTTCCAACGTCCGAACACCACAAGCTATCGGAATAAATAGTGTTACGTAGTGGGGGACGCTCTCGTTCAGACTGGCGGGTATTTTTGGAGTCTGGTGAGATCGATTGTGTGAGGGGAGAAAGGCGCGCGGGCACAGCTTCAAGACCAGTCGGTACCAGAGAGCAGGGGGGAGGGGGTGGGGGGGGGGGGGCTCGCCAGGGGCGGGACTGACAGTGGGGACAACTTACTGAGAGAGGTTGGGAATAGATTCTTTATTAAAATCAAGAATATTTGCTTTTTAGGAATAATTAGCAAAGATCCAAAAGTGCTTTAATACCTCTTTTTAGCAGCAAATTTGAACTAAAATTAAAAAAAAATGATATTTTTTGAACCCGAATATTTTGATAACTGAGTAGGTCTTTGCTGATAACTTGTTGCCTTAGTTCCAGAGCTAAATATAGGTCCAGCACAGTGAAGCTATTCTAAAATTAGCCTCAATCTTGTGGCGCTTGTGGTGATCGAGAAAAATCTATCAAATTTAATCAGTCGTTGGCAGGTGATCTCTCTCTGTCTCTCTTTCTTCCCCTCTCTGTCTCTTTTCACACATACACATACACACACACACACACACATATATATATATATATATATATATATATATATATATATATATATATATATATATATATATATATATATATATTATGTATATATATATGTAAAAATATATCTATGTTTTTATATATTACACACACACACACGCATATATATATATATATATATATATATATATATATATATATATATATATATATATATATATATATTGTTTTTATATATTACATACACATACACACACACACATATATATATATATATATATATATATATATATATATATATATATATATATATATATATATATATATATATATATATATATATATATATATAAATTAATGTATATTAATAATTATATCACAACAAGGAATGCTATAATAAGAACAAAAGTGAAGCTATTATTTAGATGATGGAGTGTAATGCGACCATTTTATGCTCTGAAACTGACCTTTCATTCAATCTTTAGTTTTGTCATTGTGGTCGTGTGTGTGCTATTGTGTAAAGCTGAAACAATAGATCTAAAATTACGCCTCTGGTCAACTAAGTGCAAAGGTCACCAGGGGCACCAAGATGATGACCTAAATCCACCAACAAGGAAACTTAAGGCCAGCTGGATCTCCTCCCTTGAGGAACCGCAGTTAGTAATCGGAGAAAAGGGGAGGTAATATTAGCTAGAAAGATCAATTCATCTAGACTGGAGAGTTAATAGTTCACATAGGAAAACTTGCCGTTTTTAATACGTAAAATAAATAGCCATCTTTAAAGAGCACAATCGATTTCTCGTATAAAGTAACAGCGAGGAAATGAAACTGTAATTTCAAAATTCAAAACACGGATTTCGTTTAACTGTAAAACTTTAAGATATAAAGGTACATTAGCCAAGAAAGATGTAGCTGTTTATTTTAAATCTGGTAGACAGGAAGAGCCATGTTGTTCCATTTATTTTTTCCTTTATCACTCATAAACAATAACAAACTAAAAAAAAACCATTCGGAATAAAAGCCTACAATAACTATAAACAATAACAAACTCTGATCTCTAAATCTAGACTAGTTACACAGTAACAGACAGTCACTAGATTTATATCTAGATTTAGATTGGATCTAGATCTATATTAGATAAATGAAACTAAAGTCAACTTGTGATGACAAAGCAGGGCCTCCAATATGGATTTGGTTAATCCTTCCAATGATCAAGTGCTGAAACTATGGAAAAGCTGCTATGATGAAGATGAGGATGACATAGATGAGTTTACAGAAGAAGAATTAGCAAATGACCCTTCAAAAAGGATATTATGGGCTGCGGAAAATAACAAATTAGAAGTGGTCAGTGAGCTTCTATCAACTACAGTCCAGGGGTCTCCAAACTTTTCAGTCCGTGGGCCGCATTAACTATCAAATTTCAGTTCGGGGGCCAGTTTCTTTCAGGCATATCTTTGATTTTTCTGGGCAAACTTCCTCAGCCATCAGCAACAAACGTTTTTTTCCGTGGACAAAAAGATCTCCGCGGGCCGGATGAGAGGACATCGCGGGCCGCATCCGGCCCGCGGGCCGTAGTTTGGAGACCCCTGAACTACACCAAGCTTAATTTTATCACATGACGCTGATCTGTATACACCCCTTCACAGAGCCTCATGCAACAACCATAAAGATATGGTTCATCTGCTCCTGTCCCATGGAGAAAATATCTCAGCAAAAACAGCAGATGGTGGCAGCCATTACACAGCGCAGGCCGATGGAACTGTGTGGAAGCAGCCCAAGTTCTTATTCATGCTGGTGCCGACATAAACGTCCAAACAAATGGCAGCTTAACACCATTACATATGGCAGCATCGGAACCAGAAAATGCATCTATGTTAGAGCTCTTACTAACTAATCCTTTCATTGATACCAGCATCAAGTCAAAAGCAGGTGAAACGGCCAAAGAGATATGCTTACGGTGTAGTCCACATTACAAACTGCTTGATTTAATGGATGACTGCATAAATGACTTTCATTCTCCTGCATAGAATTCTGTCAGTGAAGCTCTATCACTGAATTATTATACAGATAACCTTTTGGTAAGAACAACAGACAAACCTGTTTTACACATGTTGTAAATAAATAAGACCTTTTGGGCAAATGTAAATAAAGACCAATAAAAGGGAAAAAAAAAAGTATACACCCTGTTACATTTACCCAACCCCATCACACATATCTACGCATCTTCGTTTTATTGAGCAATAATTTAATATTACCCATTTTACCAGCGGTATATGGGCCGAAGAAGTCCAGTTCTTCAGTGTCTGTGACCTTGTCAAGTGAAAAGATAGTGTGGTCAGCACTTTGCCCAGTCGTATTACTTTCCCTAACTCAGGACAGGTACCCATCAAAGCTGGGTGAACACGATAACGCCCACATTTTATAGTGCAAACAGAAAAAAACTAGCTAGTTATGACAATGTGTTTGCGAAATCCATCTAATTTAGTTAGCATTTTTTGGATGGTCGGCGTGGTCGAGTCGGTAAAGCTTACGGTTGCTAAACGGAACCCTCGGGCAGATGAGGCTCGTTAGCTGGGGACAGCCACTCTTCTAGGAGAGACAACTCTTAAATCAAACAACTGCTGCCTTGTAGTTTGTTCTTGGTTGGACAAAGGCTATGGAACAAATCCAAAAAGAAAAGCAGGCTGAAATCGAAGTCAATGGCCTATATGGCGAATAACCAGTTGATATGTAATACTTAATTGCGTTGGAGGGAGTCCTTTCCAACATCAAAATTAAGAACAAAGAAAGACAACTTTTTGAAAATTTAAAAACCAATCAAACTCCGATTTATGTACCAGTGTTCCATATACAACAATGACATATTCAAAAGAATAGCACTAAATCAGTATGTAATATAAACAAATATACACCTTTGACGCTTTCATGTTGCATGATGTATGTGCTGTTTAACCAAAATTCTTCTGTGTAAACACTCTTTTCTGTGTAAACACTCTTTTCTTTGTAAACACTTTTTTCTGTGTAAACACTCTTTTCTGTGTAAACACTCTTTTATGTGTAAACACTCTTTTTTGTGTTAACACTCTTTTCTGTGTAAACACTCTTTTCTTTGTAAACACTTTTTTCTGTGTAAACACTCTTTTCTGTGTAAACACTCTTTTCTGTGTAAATACTCTTTTCTTTGTAAGCACTTTTTTTCTGTGTAAACACTATTTTCTGTGTAAACACTCTTTTCTGTGTAAACACTCTTTTCTGTGTAAACACTCTCTCTGTGTAAACACTCTTTTTCTGTGTAAACACTCTTTTTCGGTGTAAACACTCTTTTCTATGTAAACACTTTTTTCTGTGTAAACACTCTTTTCTATGTAAACACTTGTTTCTGTGTAAACACTCTTTTCTGTGTAAACGCCTTTTTCTGTGGAACCAAGCTTCAGTATTCGCAGCTATAAATAAGATCATTATTATGAAACAGGAAGTTACGTCAGCCAATTGAAGTCATCTTGAGATCTCGTTGTTAGCGCTAGCCTACGTTGATGTTTCCAGAACCTTCGCAGACTAATCGCAGAACTTTCAGAATGCTCTAGCTAGATACACGCTGAAAATACATGTTGTTAATCGTTTTAACGCAATTTATAAGATGAAAACAACTGAACGCAAGCGCAAACACACATACATACGTATGCATTATACTTACACTCATATATAAACACAAAATGGCGGGTCGCTGATAAAAGTTTAGTAATGGTATTAAATACATAATTTAACGACGTTATTTTTATAGTTAAATAATCAGTGACGCTTTATTATCTTTTAAAGAAAATCTTTTTATTTTTAATTTTCAAAACATTTCTATCAAAATCGTCACTTAAGGTTCACATATTTATTTTTGAGTGAGTATTTGAAAAACAATAGCACTTGAATTTTTTAGAAATCCTTTAAACGACTCAAATATTTCCGTACGCTAAAACACATCGCATTCACCGTCATTACACAGTACACGCTGAATGATTAAGGAAACGCAGAAATATACAAGGGGTTATCCATAAATAACGTCACCATTTCTTTACGTGTCTCCCCCCCCCCAACCCTACAATCGTCACACATTTTCACAAAAGAGCCAGACTCACATCTCTAAAACCACATCACACTCAAATGCAGGCGTTTTTTTTTAACAATTGTTTTTAAAATTACTTTTGCCGTGATCAATATTGAGTTTAGAAGTCAATTTCTTTTGCAATTTACCAAAAAAATATTTAAAAAATCAACAACAACAGCTTTTAAAAACGTGAAATAACCCCTAAAAGTCAGTTACTAATATTACTTTTAAACAGAGTTTCTTCCAGGCATCTCCCCGAACGAAATGAAATTTATATAATTTATATAGAAAATATATACTTTTAACAGTGTCCGCCCCCCCGAAGAAAGTCTACCGCCCCCCCCCCCCCCCCCGAAAATTTCAAGTGCCCCCCCCCCCCCCCCGGAGAAAAAAGTCTGGAAGAAACACTGCTTTTAAATAAAATGCACTAGACTGCCATCACACTTTCTTCACCCTCCCCCCCCCCCCCATCGCTACAAAGTCCAGTAACTCCACCCGACTTGCTATGCGTGTGACATTTATTGACGACCTCTAAAGGGAGATAAAAGACATGGTTGCACTAAGTATCAAATAGCTTCTCCACCCGAAATGTACCAGGTGTCTTCTATAAATGACGTCAGCTTCTGTGACGATTTTTACCCCCTCCCACCTTCCGCAACACATCGGCAAAAAAACAAGACCCCTGTTACGGTTCAGTTGTAAGTTAGATTAGAATAGGATAGACTGATCTAGAATTAGGGGAGAGTGAGTGTGTGAGTTGAGTTTACCCTAGAATATTGTTAACCCCGGTGTGTTTGTGTATTGTTATCCCAATGTCGAATGCCGTATAAAAGCTGGAGTGAATGATTGTCAGGGGTCAGTTGCTAGCGATTAGGACGAGGGCTACTTTTGAATATATATATTTTTGACGGAATAAAAGTAGCGAACATAGTCACGAAGAGTTGTTTTGTCAGAGACTAACCCGTAAAAAAACACCCCCCCCCCCTTTAAAATGACGTCAAACGTCAGCCTACAATCCCCTCCTCCTATATAACAGTTGTTTTTTTTAACACAGATTTGTTTTCTAAAATATTGACTGAGCTTGGTCCAAAATAGAGTATTTGAATCATTTTTTTTTACAATTTATTAAAACAGTTTTTCTAAATTGCGAAAAAAAGGCAAACGTGTGACGTAACACTATCTGAAACAGTGTTTCTTCCAGACTTTTTTTCTACGGGGGGGGCTCTTGAAATTTTCGGGGGGGGGCGGTAAACTTTCTTCGGGGGGGGGGGGACACTGTTAAAAGTATATATTTTCTATATAAATTATATAAATTTCATTTCATTCGGGGGGGGGGGGGGGGGGGGCGGTAAAATTTTTTCGGGGGGGGGGGGGGGGGGGGGGCTTCGCCCCCCCGAAGAGATGCCTGGAAGAAACTCTGATCTGAAACCACATCCACTCCTCAATGCACAATTACGGACCCCCTTCCCTACAATTACGGACCCTCCTTCCCCTACAATTACGGACCCCTCTCCCCTACAATTACGGACCCCCTCCCCTACAATTACGGACCCCTCCCCTCCCCTACAATTACGGACCCCCATCCCCTACAATTACGGACTCCTTCCCTACAATTACGGACCTCCCTCTTCTACAATTACCGACCCCCCTCCCCTACAATTATGGACCCGACCCCCTCCCCTCCAATTACGGACCCCCTCCCCTACAATTACGGACCCCCTCCCCTACAATTATGGACCCCCTCCCCTACAATTACGGACCTCCCTCTTCTACAATTACCGACCCCCCTCCCCTACAATTATGGACCCGACCCCTCCCCTACAATTACCGACCCCCCTCCCCTACAATTATGGACCCGACCCCTCCCCTCCAATTACGGACCCCCTCCCCTACAATTACGGACCCCCTCCCCTACAATTATGGACCCCCTCCCCTACAATTACGGACCCCCTCCCCTACAATTACGGACCCCCCTCCCCTACAATTACGGACCCCTCGCCTACAATTACAATTACAATTTTTCTTTGGTTTATATTAACAACTAATTACGTTATTGTTGAATCGAATAAACATAATAAAAAGGTATAGGGGATACAATGTAATACATTTCTATTAAACTTGAGATTGTCAAACGGGAAGGAATCCTGTAGAATAACAGATCCCCATACGTTAACAAAAACACAGTACCTTAGAAGTCATATGACCGACCATGGGCAAAGTATGAACATGAAGGTCATTACTGTGCTGGAACATGTAACAATCTTTAAATATTGCATCAGGCTGGGTGTGTATCTTGAGAATTAAAGATGATACATTTTTGTTATGTTAAGCAAATCTACCCACACTACAGAAGCACTTTACATTAAACGAGACAGCTACCTACATGCTACTGAAAGGGTAGGGTTTGTACTATTAACGTTAGTTAAAATATCTGTGTATTTCTTATCAGTAGATCTGGAATCAAGATCTCGATTTAGTTTTAATTCACAACAAAACTACCAGCGTATTTTTGTGATCTTAAGGCTGAGTTATCAAAGTACGTATCAAATATTTAACAACAGTACCAATCATATAATTGCGGAATGTAATTTTTGTTAACATTAAGAGTAAGAAATTTGAGTATGATCTGTTGCCTCGCTATCGATGCTCTGATTTAAACCTAGATCTAGATCTAGGTTCATGGCATGTAAGAAGAGAAATTTTAAAAACA